ATTTCTCCCTTTCCTGTCTGTGGTCACAGGATGACACATTTCCCAAGGCACATTTGTTTTACTTCTTGGATTCCAACAGTAAGAAATTGAAGAGGAAAACACTTACCCCACCCCGAAGAGAATAGGGGCTTTGGCCCAGCAATGACCAGGGAACCTGAGTGTGCCTTCGAGTCCCACACAGCTGTTTCTCCAGCTCCCCGTGCATGAAGCGGCCTGTCTGTGCTTCACTGAGACTCAGCCACCCACATAGGGTGATGCCTCCTGCAGCTGAGACACTGCACCTAAAGGCCACAGAGGTCAAACAGTTCAGAGTGTCTGAGAACCCGAGCCAGCTCCTCCCGATGGGTGGCGTCTGTAGTGACTCGCTCCAAACACACTGAGTCTGCCTCAGCTCATGATTAACACCCTCATGGGGTCTACAAAAGACGAACACGGAACCGCACACAGATAAGCCTCCCGTCCACCAGCCGACCCACCTCCATCCTCACCAGCTGCCCACCTCCACCTGCCTCCTCCCCTCGTCCCCTGCAGACGCCTCCACACAACACACCACACCCGCTGTCCTGCCCACACACACCCTCTCCTGCGCACACACCCTCTCTCCTGTGCACATGCCCTCTCATACACACACACACACCCTCTTGCACACGCACACCCTCTCCTGCACACACACACCCTCTCGTACAAACACACACCCTCTCATACACACACACACTCTCTTGTACACACACCCTCTCATATACACACCCCCTCTCTCCTGCACACACCCCCTCCCCTACACACTCACCATCCTGCACACACACCCTCTCCTGCATACACACACCCTCCCCTGCACACAAACACCCTCTCCTGCACACACACACCCTCTCCTGCACACACACCCTCTCCTGCACACACGCCCTCTCCTGCACACACACCCTCTCCTGCACACACACACCCTCTCCTGCACACACGCCCTCTCCTGCATACACACCCTCTCCTGCACACACGCCCTCTCCTGCACACTCACCCTCTCCTGCACACTCACCCTCTCCTGCACACACACCCTCTCCTGCACACACGCCCTCTCCTGCACACACGCCCTCTACTGCACACACACCCTCTCCTGCACACACGCCCTCTCCTGCACACACACCCTCTCCTGCACACACACACCCTCTCCTGCACACACACATTCCCCTGCACACACTCACCCTCTCCTGCACACACGCCCTCTCCTGCACACACACCCTCTCCTGCAAACACACACCCTCTCCTGCACACACGCCCTCTCCTGCACACACGCCCTCTCCTGCACACACACCCTCTCCTGCACACTCGCCCTCTCCTGCACACACACCCTCCCCTACACACACACACCCTCTCCTGCACACACACCCTGTCCTGCACACACGCCCTCTCCTGCACACACACCCTCTCCTGCACACTCGCCCTCTCCTGCACACACACCCTCCCCTACACACACACACCCTCTCCTGCACACACACCCTGTCCTGCACACACGCCCTCTCCTGCACACACACCCTCTCCTGCACACTCGCCCTCTCCTGCACACACACCCTCCCCTACACACACACACCCTCTCCTGCACACACACCCTGTCCTGCACACACGCCCTCTCCTGCACACACACCCTCTCCTGCACACTCGCCCTCTCCTGCACACACACCCTCCCCTACACACACACACCCTCTCCTGCACACACACCCTGTCCTGCACACACGCCCTCTCCTGCACACACACCCTCTCCTGCACACTCGCCCTCTCCTGCACACACACCCTCCCCTACACACACACACCCTCTCCTGCACACACACCCTGTCCTGCACACACGCCCTCTCCTGCACACACACCCTCTCCTGCACACTCGCCCTCTCCTGCACACACACCCTCCCCTACACACACACACCCTCTCCTGCACACACACCCTGTCCTGCACACACGCCCTCTCCTGCACACACACCCTCTCCTGCACACTCGCCCTCTCCTGCACACACACCCTCCCCTACACACACACACCCTCTCCTGCACACACACCCTCTCCTGCACACACACCCTCTCCTGCACACTCGCCCTCTCCTGCACACACACCCTCCCCTACACACACACACCCTCTCCTGCACACACACCCTCTCCTGCACACACGCCCTCTCCTGCACACTCACCCGCCTGGGGAGGCCTCAGCACGCAGCTGACTCAGGCTGCTCTCTCGGTGCCACGGTTGGCTTAGATGAAAGGCCACCTCCTCCACAGCAGCCCACAGAGCCTGAACACCTGGGGACAGGGGCACAGAGGACCAGTCTGTGTAGGAGATGTGGCTGAGGTGCCCACCGGGGATGGGGGCAGCCCACGCCACCCACTATGCCGAGGTGGTCACCTCCTCAGCAGAGCCTGAACTGAACGACTTCGGCTGCGTGTGCAGGTCCAAGATTTGATCGCAACTCGACGTGTGAAGGTGGATTCCGTGTGCCAGTGAAACAGGAGACTTCTCTACAAACTACATGTGAAGTCGTCTAGGAGCATTCACATCCCATGTGTGGCTGCTCCCGAGACACACACAGACACTCATGTCACAGCCTCTAAGCAGCACGCGCAAAACTCCCATATTTTAGGGCCCAAGTCCTTCAGCCCCAGACACCCTGCGAGGCCAGCTGCTTGCAGCCAGGGCAGGACCACCATCAGCCTTGCAGAGGGAAGCGCCCTGGCTCTGGGACACAGCTCATGCTCTGCCACCTGTCCCTGCTGCCTGGTCCCACCGCGCCTGTCGAGGGGTCTGCTAGGCCTCATTGGGCGTCAGGACACGTCCATGCTTTGGCTGCCTTGGGGGGGCAGGGGGCCGGGGTGGGCAGGGCCCTTGGGGACATGAGTAACCACAGCTGTTCTTCTGACAGCTGTGACTGGTCTGGATGAGTCACAGCTCCTCCAGGGAGAGCCCCAGTGAGCACAAGCCGAGGAGCCTGGATCCAGACGTGAGCACCAGGCCTGGACACAAAGCCTCAGCCGGGGTGGCGGCGCCCCTCACGCCACAGGCCAGCCCTGCCACTCAGCACCTGCAGGTCACCCACAACGGGCCCCGCCTGCCTGGGCACCGTCTGGCCTCACTGCACCCCCTGGACAGTGGGGACTCAAAGGACTGGGTATGCAGCCCCTGTGCCCAGGTGGCCCTGAGTTCTCCCACACTCCGAAGGCTGTGGTGGGCGCACGAGGTCCCCAGCCCGATATAAATGTTTCCTCACCCCCGTGTCTCAGAGCTGGGCGAGTTGGCCTGAGACCGTGTTTGCGCCCCAACCTTCCAGACCAGCGAGGGCCTCTGGGCGGGACCTTTCCCAGGTGCGTCCCTGCCGAGGCTCATCCCCGTCACGGGCTGAGCTGCCTCTGGGTATAATGGGAATCTCGGTTTCACCTCCTTGTTAACAAGTCATGTGTAGTTAGCGAAAGTGAGACTTGAGTAGGCCCCAGTCCCCCTACAGCCCGCATCCACAGCGTTTCCTCTGGGGAGCCCAGAGCAGTGGCCCCCTGGTTTGGGGCACAAGAGCTGGGCCTGAAACTCTGCCTGTGCCAGGAGGTCCTGCTGGCAGTGGTCCCCCAAGAGGACCACCCCCCACCAAAAGAGGGAAAAATGACACGGGAGAGAAGGGAAGAGGGGGCTGCACAGACCCAGATCCTGACGGCTGCAGCCTCCGCCCTCCCAGAGGTGACTCCGGTCGTCGGGACCACGCCGAGCCCACGGAGGTAAATGCACATTCTGGAAACCACCTTTCGGAGGCAAACAGGAAACAATTGTGTTGTCTGCCAGCTGCTGTAAACTGTTTACTTTTTCTCAATACTGACTTGTTCAAAACCTTAGGGACATAAATAAATGGGACGTGTTTTTCCACCACATCCTCGAGATGCTCTTATTTGGTCCTGGAGACCAGCCTTGGGTCTGGGCTGTGCCTCGCAAGGGGAGCGGGTGCCTGTGGCTGAGGGACGGCAGCCCTGGGTTTGCCCTGGTCCATGTCCACGTCCACATCAGCCGGCCAGAGGTGGCCGTGCCTGTGGAGTAATGTCAGGGCGAAGTCCCAGCGCCTCCTCACGCTCGAGCCCTGCCTGCTCCACAGGGCTGGGATCCACCCCATGGGCGAAATCCCCACCCCACGGGGAGAGGCCCCACTCAGGCTCCGAGGGAGTGGCCCGAGGGTCAGACGGTGGGGCTGGGCGGGCCTCCTTCCCCGCTCCTGTGGCCTGTCTCTCTCTCTCCCTCTGTCTCTGCCGGGACCCCCCAGACCCAGCACACCCTAGGGCCCGCGAGCCGAGCATGCCAGGCGGTGCTGGGGGAGGGCAGAGTCCAGCCTCTCCACAGTCGCACGACACAGTCAGTGCCCAGTGCAGGGTTGGGCGCCCCACGGTGGGGAGGCCCCGCAGCCCCCAGGTGTGCCCGTTTACCTGCAGCAGTACCTGCCATGTGGTCCTGGGATTCCAGCGAGGAAACTGAGGATCAGGAGGCAGCTACCCCCTTGCCCTCTGTCCCTCCTGTGGAACGTGGGGAGGCCATAGCCTGGCCGCTCCTGGGGGAGGAGGAAGGCACAGGGAAGGAACAGAGCAGTGGGCGCCTCATGGGGCCGGCATCCAGGTGCCGTCACCTAGTTCCTGGCCCCACGTCCTGACGCCCAGATGGAGGCAGAGGATGGGACTCCGCCCCCCAAAGGCAGCTGTGAAAAGGTGACTCCCATTAGCCCCAGAGCGTGGGCAGGGGTCTGACCTCCTTCTCTGCTCCTCTGACTGTGGGACGACCCAGAGAGCCAAGCAGCTCCGCCTTCACCAGCCAGGTGCCACGAGGACAGGCTGGCTGCTGGACAGACACCGCTGCGGTCATGGTCAGACAGGCGCCCCAGACCAAAACAGTAGTCAGATGACCAGGAGGCCGCTGCCACTTTCTGCCCACAGGCAAGTGGCTCACAGCAGCTGCGGCTAAAAATAGGTGTAAAAGGCACAGGCCTTGAGGGGAATCGCAAGGGGAGAGTGCTGTCCTGCTTGGGCTGAGGGTGCAATGCAGTCGCTCCGCTTCCTTTCTGCTGAATCTTTGGTGTCCCACCCCCAGCTCGCCCAGCAGAGCCTGGACAGTGTGGCCCAGACCCTGTACCCACTGCTGTTCAAAGCCAGCTACCTACTGGAGCAGACAGAGGTGACCCGTGCTGTGCTGGGCCACTGGCCGCTGGAGGAGTTCCGGCTGGGCATGCTGCTGGGGCCGAGCGCAGACCACCCCATGGACCTGCGTGACCGGGCCTGCAGGGCCTGCCTGGAGGCCTGCGTGCATGGCCTCGCAGACCACGTGCTGCAGGGCAGGAGCCGGCGGCTGCGGGTGGCCGACCTCACAGGCCTCCGAGACGTGCAGGAGCAGCAGTGCCCTTGTGGCCAGGCCCTGGGCAGGTGGGGCCGTACAGACCTGCTGGCCAGGGCCTGCTGTGAGCTGCAGGCACAGCCCCACGCAGCTGGGCACCCCGTCGAAGTCCTGGCCGACCTCTTTGTCACCGAGGGCAACTTTGAGGTGGTGGTGCAGGCCCTGCAGCCGGTGGGCCCAGCCCCTCTGCAGCTGCGCTGCCCCACCTTCCGTGCAGACAGCCTGAGCTGGGGCCAGCTGCTGCAGGTGCTGCATCTGGCCGGGCCAGGCACGCTGCGCAAGCTCGAGGTGGTGCACAACGTCCGGCTACATGCCGGCCATGTGCTGCAGCTGCTGGCCCAGGTGGGCTTCCCCCAGCTGGCCTCGCTCACCCTGCCCACCAAGGCCTTTGACGCACCCCCCACCTGTGCCCCGATGCCTGATGGTGAGGACACCCTCCTCTCCTCCATTGCCTGGGAGCTCAGCCAGATGACCCAGCTCACGGAGCTGAGCGTGGCCTTCTCCACACTGACCGGGAAGATCCAGAGACTGCTCAGGTGAGCCCCCAGTTGCCTGGGCAGTGGGTGGGGCCTGGGCATCCCAGGGGTCCCTGGACAGGCGGGCTGGAGAGGCAGTGACTTACCTGCATGGCCACACCCAACCACGCCAGGCCAGAGCAGCAGGAGAGGGACATCTCTAGTGTTGAGGTGACACTGAGCCAGAGCCACTAGGAAAGAAGCAGCTGGGGCGTGTGATCCGGGACACGGAGGGAACTCTGTGTTAGTTAGCAAGTGAAAGAGAGTACTAACCAGCAAATAAACAAAACACAAGGAACCATCATTTTGAGTTAGTTATCTATTGTCGTAAAAGAAATTTCCCCAACACCTGGTGGCTTAAACACACATATTAGCTCAGGTCAGGGCCAGCAGGCTCAGGGCTGCCTCTCCAGCTCCCACCATGTGGCCTCTCCACGGCTCCTGCATCCTCACAGTGACGGGAGCCAGCAGTGTCTCCCTCTCAGCAGCTCTGCTGTGAAGAAATCAAGGTGGCTCGTGCAGAGAGGGCTGGCCTGGCCACAGGTTCTCAGGCAGGCAGGGGCAGGCAAGACACACAGGTGGGTCCAGGTGTGGTGGGCGAGTGGGAGAGGCAGCCCCAACAGGAGGAAGGGAGGGACAGAGAGCAGGGTCCAGTGATGTCCCCCTTGCTCAGCAAGGACAGTGAGCACATCCCTGGGTGTAGGGGGGCCAAGAATGTCGGGGTCTCACAAGCTCCAGGTGCGACACTATTCTGAAGATGTGTCTAGAGAGTGCCGGGCCAGAGCAGGTCTGACCCTGGCTGCCCATTTCCTGGCTCTGTCCGCCCTACACCAACGACGAGATTCCAGGCTGGACCAGATGGCTCCAAAGCTTTCGCAGCTCTAGAGCACGTGGGCTTCTTCTCTGTCGGGCTGAGGCAATGTTTTATTTCTTGCGAACTCACACCACCATGCCACTGCCCTGCAGCAAGCTTTTAGAATGACACTCTCAACGGGGCTGTGTGCGGAGCTTCCCTATGCACACAAAAGGTGTTGCTGAGAAAACAGACACCACTTTAGGCCCCATGCACAGGGCCTGCTTAAGCAGCCACAGGCGACAGTGAGCCGTGAGCAAGGCTGCGCCCAAGTGAAACTGTCTCTGTGGGAACTCACACTTGAATTTCATGTAACTTCCACATGTCACAAACTGTTATACCTCCCTTGATTTTTCTAACTATTCAGAAATATAAACCACTCAGCTTGCAGGCTGTGTGGCAGCAGGCATGGGCTGGATTCGGCCACGTGAACGGACTGTCCACCGTCCACCTTACCCCCCACTCCTTCCCCAGACCCTCATCCTATGCTGTTCTCCCTGCCCTGCAGCCCACTAAGGACCCCGCTGCGAGTGCTGGACCTGGCCAACTGTGCCCTGAACCATGTGGACATGGTCTTCCTGGCAGACTGTGCTCATGCTGCCCACCTGGAGGTGCTGGACCTCAGTGGACACAACCTAGTCAGCCTGTACCCCTCGACCTTCTTCAGACTGCTGAGCCAGGCTGCCCAGACGCTGAAGGTCCTGACCCTGGAGGAGTGTGGCATTGCAGACAGCCACGTCAACATGATGATCCTGGCCCTGAGCCCCTGCCACCAGCTCCAGGAGTTCAAGTTTCTGGGGAACCCTCTGTCCAGCCGTGCCCTCAGGCGCCTCTTCACTGCGCTCTGCGAGCTCCCCGCACTGCGATGCATTGAGTTCCCGGTGCCCAAGGACTGCTACCCCGAGGGCACTGCCTACCCCCAGGACGAGCTGGCCATGTCCAAGTTCGACCAGCAGAAATACGACGCGATTGCTGAGGAGCTGCGGGCTGTGCTGCTGCGGGCCAACCGTGAGGACATCCAGGCCTCCACGCCCCTTTTTGGAAGTTTTGACCCAGACATTCAAGAAACGAGCAATGAGCTTGGCGCTTTCCTGCTGCAAGCATTCAGAACTGCTTTAGAAAACTTCTCCAGGGCACTGAAGCAGATGGAGTAGGCCTTGGGTTGTGCCAGCAGTGGGCCCTGGCCGAGTGCCCAGTGTCACACCCAGAGCATGACTTAGTGAGGATCGTAGGTGTACCCATGAGTGCGATGATAGAGCCCCACATGCCAGGAGACGGGCAGCAGAAGCTTCCACCACCACAGCAGACGGCACAGAAGCAGCAGCTGTCATGGCCACAGAGGGTGCGGGCACCACAGACGCAGGCAGTGAGGGGAGCAAGTCAGAGACCCTGTCACCGAAAACTGCACAAAATGAGCAGCAGCCCATAAAGAAACAACAAAGCAAGAAAAGGCTAAAAATGTAAAATTAAAATGAGAAGCAGTAGGGGGACACGTCTGGTCTGTGGCACTGACACCAGCGAGACAAGGTCTGTTTGGTGGACCACGGCCGGGGGTTGTCAGTGGCTTCTGTTCTCGCTTTGCTTTGCCCTGAGGACCATGAGGAGCATCCTAGGGGGAGCAAACGGGCCCTGGCTGGAGGGTCGCCTGGGCCAGGGCGTCCGGGCCCTGGAGGAGAACCCCCACTCCAGGTGTTTTATTCCCTTCTGAACAGCTGGGGCTCCCTGCGCGGTTCGAGGGGAGCTCCTCCAGGTTAACTTGCGGCCTGGAACTCAGCGAGCACCTTGAGAAGCTCATAACCGTCTGCAAAATGCATCTGGACTTGGTCTCCACCAAGACCGGCTTTGTACAAAGGGCTATTACAACGCTTAAATGCTAATAAAACAGAAGTGTGTTTCACTCAGATGCAGTGTTTATTTCAGTGCAATTCAGAAATTTTAAAAGGATCTAAGAGTCTGAAAATAAAATGTTTTCTCAAGACAGAGATGAATACTTGTTGTGGTCCAATCCTCCTCAGACCCAGAACTGCAAGCACCGTGCAGCCCTGCCAAGTGGCTGGCTCCCCCAGGTCTGTCCCAGGCTACAAGTCCCCAGCTCCGGGTCCCCCTCATGAGAGGCGTCACAGGGGTCTGCTTGCTGAGGAGGGGGATGACCCTCCTTCTGGGTCTCCACATGCACCCCCTGCTTCCTCTGTGTCCCTTAATCGTTCCCTACGTCCTTGGCAGTGTCTCCTCAGACGCATCATGCTGGAATCATCTTTCAGGTCCATGAGCTTGGCATTGCAACTGTTCTAGGGAAGAGAGTAGGCACAGAGCAACATTTTAAAATAATTCATTGCTAACTCTACAGAGCAGACAAGCTTCTGTTTTAGGTGTCTGAATTTTCTCGATTACAGACTCGGCCACTAGGTTACAGCTAACCAGTCGCAAGCGGCGTCGCCTAGCTGAGCCCAGCGCATGACTGAGCAGAGCCCAGGGAATCTGCAGTGACCCGTGGCTGTGAGAGGGGCAGGGGCACATGGGAGCCTGCTGGTGCACAGCTGGAATACGCTGACGGCAGATGTTTTGACAGCTCCCCTCCAAGCCTGTGCCTCACGTGCCTGTCCCCGTGCATGTGCTTTACTTGCTCTCTGGAACTGCTGTCGTGATCCTGCATGTGCCATTTCAGTACCTGATGGATTTTTGTCACACCTGCCCAACCCTGTGACCTTATAAGTCTGTGGTCACGTGGCAGCGGTCACACATCTGTGCCTACCAGGGCCCAGGAGCATAGCAGTTCTCAAATGCAGAAAGTAAAATGGTGGGAATTAAGGAAAACACACTCAGCAGATGAGTGAGATCCAAACCAGCAAATACACGTGGCAGCTGCTGTTGGGGCTACTCCTGCTGAAGCTGTGGGTATCCACTATCACCCGCCCACCTGGTCCTTCCAGGGCCAGACGGGTGAGTTGCACAGGGACACATGGGGACCAGGGGACCACCACCCACAACATGTGGTGAGCCGCTGGCTTTGCATCCCTTCCATCTTCTGTGTGGCATGAACTGAGCAGCTCCTCCAGGAACACAGCCTTGCTTCCTGCTGACCATCCTGCAGGCTTCCACTTGGTCCTTCCTGCCTTAATGACTCTTGTTCTGCAGGTCAGGAAGAAATGTGGGGGTTCTCCCCAGTGACACACTCCCAGACTGAGGAGATATCCACAAACCAGTGGGCCCTCTAAGTGATGGACATGGCCAGAGCCCTGGGACATCAGCTGCTGCTCTGGCCACCACCAGCCCTCACTCTCTGATCACTATATGAATCGAGCCACACTAGAGTCAGCTGTAATCCACTACATCCTGGATCCCATTATCCGCCAGCATTGCGGCAGCCCTGAGGGGGAGGCTCTGTGGTTGCCCGTCAGTCATCCCCACCACCTGCCTCTGTGCAGAGCCCCATCAGCCTGGACTCGGGTCCATGGCCCCACTGTACAGGGACAGCCCTGGCTACGCTGAGCCATGCCACTGTGCCAGAGCCCTCATGAGCAGGGAACCCAGCCCACCCTGCCTTCCACTGCAGGAGGCTCCAGCACTCCACTCCCAGGGTTGGCCACCTGCCAGCTTCCAGGCACCTCCCAGCAGGGATGGGCTTGGTTCCATGTCCTTGCCAGAACAACAGATACAGAGATGTCTATGAGCACCAATGCAGGACCTCCTGCCCAACCAGCCTCTCTTCTGTCACTCCTTCCTCCCCCAGGACCCCCCCCCCCC